CTCCCAGGCTCCTGCACGTCCGCTAGGTCCCCAAGACGACCCATCCCACCATTTATGATAAAGAGCAGAGTCCCTACCAATATGGAAAACATCGACTCGGTTGGGACCCCAGGATACAGCACGCGGCTGTCCAATGATCGTGCCGCCCAGATTCTCATAAGCACCATCCGTGCCACTAGGGCCCCAGCGAGAACCATCCCACCACTTATGGTAGACGGCACTGTCAGTGCCGGTGCAGAAGATATTGATACGATTAGGTTCCCCAGAGACGACAGATGGGGCATGTAAGAGTGTTCCGCCCATCTTTACAAAGCCAGAGTTCCAGCTAGTGCCATTCCAGAATTTCTGATACAACCCGCGGTCTTGGCCGACGAGAAATACATCAAGACGGTTACGGCCCCAGGAGACGACGGCGGGCTTTTCCATCCATGATCCACCAAGGTTCTCCCACCCAAGCTGACTGGGACCCCAGCGGGAACCATCCCACCACTTGTGGTAGAGGGCGGAGTCGGTGCCGATACCAAAGATGTCGAGACGGTTAGAGCCCCAAGAGACTGAAACAGGTTCGTCGATGAAGATACCACCGAGACGCTCCCAGTCCGTGGGGCTCGGGTGCCAATTGCTGCCATCCCAGGCTTTATGATAAATAGCAGAGTCTGTGCCGACGACGAAGAGATCAAGACGGTTGGGTCCCCAGGATGTCATTCTGTAAATGAGAAAAATTGGTCAGTATGTCGGAGAAAATAATGAATAAACTGACGTGGACTATTGGAATGTTTAAAATGTGTGAACAGTAAAAGCGACGTGTAATGTCAATATAGAAGCGATGGAAAGATCGGATTCTGAGGAAAGATAGGAACTGTAGTGGTTGTTTTATATCTTTCTACGAAGTGTTTCTTTCGTATTTGTAAATGGATCATCACGATTTAATCCTTGTGTCGGCGCATGTGCCTATTCTTATTGTTGATTGACAGAATGCGCCACCAAAAGTTTACGTTCTATGCCCAGTCCCGCCAAATTCATCCTGTCTTCCTCCTGGTCATTTACAGTGATTGCTCTCCACTTCTTCTTCGCCGCAAAGAATGTTCGAAAAAGAATCATCTAGAGTAATAAAAAAAGGAACATCGTGTTTGTGGATATTTTTGCTCGGGTTTGAATTCTTCCGAACGCATCAGGTACTGAGAAAACGACGATAATTGATATCTTTAGCCGTTCATGAGCACAAGTGGTTCCTAGTTTCAGGACAGCTTGTGCGCGCAGACCACCGTTTAGCATTTATTCAATTCATTTGCAAATGAGAACTTACTTAGTCAGTGGGTGGTGTTCGGGATCAATGTAGAGGTTGCAGGTTGGGAATGAAACCCCTCCGTCCCCGCATCAGCTGACAGAGTCACTATGATAGTGCAGGGAAAGGTGGAGACTCTAGAACTTATAGACCAACGGTCATTGATGAGCTCCGAACTTCTTTACGATAGGTTAAGGCACATAAAGCGACGTGCCGAGGCAGGATTTGAGGATGTTGAGTCAGTCAAACAGGAGAGAAAAGGATCCAGAAGATACTCACGTCGTCGGGCTACCAATTGTAACATAGATGAAACGGGAGTGTTCTACGAGTATGTAACAATCCCCGCATTCAGCTAACAGTATTGATTTGGGGGCTAGTAGATTGCAGATATAAAGGCGCAATGGACAAGAAACAGTCAGGAGTGAAAAAATAAGAAAGCATGGTTGACATATAATTTTACGACAAATGCAGAAATAGGGCTGCCACCCGTAACCGTATATACGGGTTGTACGGTACCCACAAATACGGCCCGTATACCGTACCGTCGACAGATTTTAGGTCAAGTTTACGGTACGGTTTACGGTACGGTTTCCACCCGTATGGCTGCCGTATAATACGGCCGTAATACGGTTCATACGGCCCGTATTACTGCAATAACACATGTTCAAATAATTTGTCTCGCTAATGTCTGATTACATGTGCGTCATACTGATTCAACCTGCGCTTAACTTGACAGAATCATTCATATAGGTTAGCATACCTCTCTCCGACACTCTTCCTCCTCTTCCTCTTCCTCTCCATGTAGATATTAATAGGTAACGTCACAGAATAAAGAAAAATTGAAATGATAAACTTAGAGATGAGAAGTCGTATGTGTAAGTAAGCAAAATAGCTATTGATACTTGCCAACTTAGCCGAGCAGTGAGTGTCGTGCACTGCTCAGCACTTCATCTTGTCTATGCCATGGTCCGTCGAGATATGATTAAGAATCCAAATGGAAATATTAATGACAGAAACCACAATGTGCATTCGGTTGATCACATTGTTCTCGCTACTTTGAGCTTATTGTGTGCTGCTTCTTAAGGCTCAACAATACCTTTCTCCTTGGTATTTTATCTCATCAGATTGAAATTCGTCGCTCTTCATTGGTACGATAGTTGGAGCACAAGACCAGGTAAGCATGGTACATTTTGATAACAAGATAATCGAATGCTGATGTGCCATGTGAGACAATGAGATAGTTAAATCTACGGAGAGAAATATTGCGATCATGTCTATTATATTTTAATTTTTTTGCTGATAGAAATCCCAAATATATAGACCCTCCCCGATGCAGTAAGCATGAAAATGCTGGCAGTAACATCAAGAACCTGTTAGCAGCTGAACAGCTTGACGATGATGGAAAAGCTCGTCCTACTCATAAGCCATGGGGTTCAGCTGTGCAGGCGAAGGAGAAGATCATAGCTGTTCAACTATATAAATCTCTTCAATAACACCGTAGCGTAAGAAAAGACTAAAAATAGTAAGCCGTATCTAACCGTATAGCCGTAATTTACCAGTACCGTACCGTATACCGTACCGTCTGGGCTCAAATTTACATCAATACGGTACGGTTTACGGTACGGCTGGCACCCGTATTCATACCGTATTGATACGGCCCGTAACCGTATACGGTACGGTTGGCAGCCCTATGCAGAAACCCTTCATCGTCGGCAAGGCAAACAAAGCACAAGAATTCGAAAAGAATTGAGGAGCTGTGCTTGATTCTACAATCGAAACAATGCAAAAGCATGGGTGACGGCGCACCTTGACCAGGAATGGTTACGTCAATGGGATTGCGACCAAAGCGGCAAAGATCCTTCTTCTCCAAGATATTTTTCAGGACATATTGTATCAGACAACCTCCAAAACATTTGAATTGAGAAATTCGATCCAGGCCTCTACGTTACAATGTGCAGCTTTTGGACCAGGGTGCTTCAAAGCCCACTATCGTGCCTAATACATCCAGCGGGCTGCGGCCCATCCACCGTTATGATGAAGGTATTACGCCTGCCAAATCAGTGATATCAACCAGCTTAAAGAAATAAGGCCCGCAGATGCTGCCTAGCGTGACGTATGGTACCACTACCATTCATAAATGCTAACATAAAGGAGGAATCTTACCTATGATGCCATTGTCCTTTGCCCACTCAACTCTCACTCACTTGCGTCCGTGTCGGAGTTTGAACTTCAGTAAATTTCGTCATTGCAAAAAGCAACGTCGTCGCGATGGTTCGTCATCTACGTCAGATATCATATCATCCCTCTGCAGGCCTTTCTCTTTGTGTCGAAGGCAGTAATCGACGCTCAGGATCAAAGGTAGCACCATGTTAGCCCATACCTCTTCCGGCTTTCTAGCACGAGTCCGTCAAACCCAATCATGCGCCCCATAAACGGTACACCAATATCACTTATTCCCGACTCACTCATGTTGTTTTCAATCCATTTCCATCTTAGCTACGTGCATCCCATATGCTCATCGGTCAAAACCATGACTAGATGCTTAATCAGCAACCAATAACCACGCTTGAGTCAATCACGCTTGCGCACCTGCACTTCTCGTTTGATTTTCACAATGACTTAAATGCTGTATCGTTGAGATATGGATCCATATCTGGGTTTGGTTTTTGAAGTGCGCTTTCAATCCTGCTCCCTGCTTTTGTCTGTCTTCCTAATGCGGCTTGCTCTTGTACAAAGCATCGCCTATCTTATACCATTATGTGGCGTTGAAGACATGCACTTGCCGGTTCCTCCTGTTGAAAGCCAACAATCAGTTCTAAATGAATGTTGAGAATAGGGTAGCAGGTACAGTACGTAAACTAGTAGAGTAGAAATAACAGAAAAATAATCATTAGATGGGACTTGGATATGTCCACTCTCAGGAATTCTGGTCTTATCGTCACTGACACCCTATATTTAATCAATCCGCTCAACTGCCACAAACGTCCCTTAGCTGGCTTTCCCTTCAACGGATATTCAGTGTTTTCACTCTGCTTATCCGTGGATTCTTGAGATTCTTCTGTGGTCTCTTCTACATCATGATCAAGGGTGTCAAGGCAAGCTAGATAATTATTTTGAGCGATGATCAGATCTACATGAGGTACCGATCCACTCACGCCTTTCTGTATTTTGTTGGACTGCCATGTCCATTTTATTTGGCTCGCCAGACGCTTTCGACCTCTTTTTTCTGTGTTCCTTCTTCAGATCACCAAGTCAGTGGCTCGCTTGACCATCAATTATGGGGGGATTTACAGCATCAGGATGTCCGCTCTGCACTGAACGTGCATCGCCTTCTTCACCCCATCCCCAGCTGTTACGAGATCTTGGACCGTGCCACTTTAAAACAAATACGAGACTAGCAGGCGTGCTTAAAAATTGTCAACTATGTCAGTGTTGTGTGTAGCTGTTCATAACAATCTCCTCACTAGCTGTAGCTCATGAAGAAAACCTTTGCTCGGTGGTATAGAGGTGAGACTCTGCGCTGAAAGATATGTAAAAATCATCAGTAAGTAGAGCTAGACTTTAAATGTCAAACTAACAATAAGCGCACCATGACTCTCTGGCATTGTCATGGGCAAAGCATCAAATCCGTCATGCTATGGTTTTGTTCTATAAATAGACGGCTTGTTAACACAGCTTGGCACCCGTCCCTGACTCATAGGTGCTATTACTATATGGGCGCATGGTGTAGTTGGTTATCACGTTTGCTTTGCATCCATCTTGAATTGAAGCTCATGCGAAAGGTGTTGGGTTCAATTCCCAATGTGTGTTGGAATGAGCGCTAAGATTACGAGCGAGCGCGATCCGGACTCCGCCCGCAGTCATACTTACATTTTTGTGGCTGCTTAATTCATTCACTATTTATCTAAGAATGTAGATATTTCGTATATAGGTAGAGTACATTCGAGCATGTACACTATCCGTTTGCCTCACGAGCTCACCGAGGCCAAACGTTTACTTTGCTTATTTCAACAATGTGTCCATTGTAGTACCGGATATGCTTTTTTTTCTCCCAGATGGAACCATAGAAATAGTTTAGCTTTCACCCTTTCTTTTATCAACCCAAGGCGACTAAGAGGAGGTAGGTAACCCTTTTCTTTTTTATTAAATGTATTTTGTGCTTGCATGGTCACTGCATGCTATGTAAGACTCATCTAACAGTGTATTCTACATTTACACGCTCCAGTGACTGTGCCATTGAAGCAAAGTAGAGGAAGCACTAGGCACATGGTGTAGTTGGTTATCATGCCCGCTTAGCATTGCAGTGTGCATTTCATATGTCTGCAAGAGGTGTTGGGTTCAATTAAAAATGTGTCCCATGATCGAGAGTCTGAAAATTTTTCTTGGATAATTAAAAACTGTAGGACCTCCTTGCATTAAAATCCATCGCACAAATACTGACTCAGATAGTTTATTTTAGAAAGAAGTAATTGTCTTGGGGAACTATTGGTCATCATGGTTGATATAAAGGGTGGTTATGCTTATATGCAACGGATATTAGAGATGTAGAGAGGAGAGAAAGTGGAGCAAGGCTTGAAATTTCTATGAATGAGGAGTTCGGCTTTGGTTCAGTTTCCAAATCGATGATGTTTAGTTTGAGTAACAACAGCAAACAGAGCCAGCCTCTGCGGGCCGTGCTCTGAGTCTGAGCTGTCCTGGTGCACAATGCATCTTCAGTGAGTTACAGCCTGATGTAAACCACCTCCGCCGCCGTTCGCCTATATCACTGCGCTGGGGACTACCACAAAGAAGAGGTCGTCCTCCACGTAAATGATATACATCAGTCACTTAATCGTGCTCCATTCCTCTCCCTCTCACCCTCATCGATCCAAAGAACACGATCACAATGTAATGCAACATCGACCACAACCCTTGGGCCTCTTCCAACAATTATATCAAACCTCATCTCGCCTTTCTTCATGGGCTGCCCAATCCCAACCACGTCTTCATTGGCCTTAAGTTGGCTGAAGCAACCGATTTCCCCACGCGCGTCCGTGTGGCACTCGAACGCGAGAGGATCCTCGCCGCCCTGCAGTGTACAGGCTGTACAGTATCTTACCTAGGGTAAATATTGAAGATTTCGCTCGAATTCTTGGGTTATACAGGGGAGAGAGCCAAGAAGGGAAGGTTCAGTTCGCGCATCGGTGAGGTGTGTATAGTTACCTTACTTCTTCCCATGATCCTAACCATCCCACCTCCCTCACACAGGTGAAAGGTGCCAGCGACGCTGACCAATACATCAAATGAATCTTCCTCTGCTCTCCAGGCAACACTACCGGAACACATGTCCCCTCACTTCCATTCGTGCCGTCTTCAACTATGAAAACTTCAATGACATCACTGTATTTGACGAAGAACCTCACACCCAACGCATGTGCCATCTCCCTCATTGAAGACTCGGCGAACCATGCATCAAGCGAGAGTGTCGTTTTGTCTGCTATTCGGTGCGTCTTTCTCACTTTCCCTCCTGCCATCTTTGAATCCTCATGATGCACCCTCAGACTGGGAATGCCTTTGCCCACCGCCATAATCCAAATCCTCAACAACACCGAAGAATCATACAACACCTCTACTTCAACGTCCCACCTCGCACTCGCTGCCGTCTCTCCCACCTCCGGCTCCTCCATGCATACTGACATCTCCACACTCAGGTCTTCACGTGCCACCCTCCTCCGGGTCCTCTCCGAGATACCCTGATGTCGAAGCAAGTAACTGTAGGAGGGGCGCCGGTCTTATGATAGTTCCTCTCTCGAAAGACAGCTCGAAAAAGGTGAACGGAACGGGAGCGGCAGGTAAGACATGAGCTTGCAGAACGGAATGGCGTCATCCACTATTGAGGGAACGAGCCCGGGTGCCTGGGCTGCCTCTTCATCACGTCAGCATGGAGGCGAATAGGACTATGGTACTGGTTTCAGAGTGTATTGAGTATTGTAAACGAGTGAGGGGGAGGGACGGGTTGGACATAGAAGATGCTGATAGATATAATAGGAATAGAAACTTACAAACATTTTCATAAGCTCTCGATCTGAAAATAAATGAATAAATAAATGAATGTTTAGATATAAAAAAGGAGGATAAGAGAACGCTCTCGTAGATATACTATGTACTTTCTGCGCCCAGCGTGCGAGATGAATTGTTGTGCTGATCCCCCTGCGGCTGCGTTCTGCCATTCGGGCTTGCACAGCCACCGGGTGTCTCCGTTGTAGTGGTAGGTAACACATGAGCTTGCAGAACGGAATGGTGTCATCCACTATTGCGGGAACGAGCCCGGGTGCTTGGGCTACCTCCTCATCATCTTGGCATGAAAGTGGGTAAGACTGTTGTACACATGTTAGAGGGGTCGTTGAGCGTTGTAAACGGGTGATGGGGAGGAATGGGTCCAGGATAAATGCTGACAGACATAACAGGAATAGAAGCCGTACGAACCATCTTCATAAACGCTAGTTAAATGAATTAACAAACAAATGTTGCGATAGTCTGTGTTCCTTTTCGCAGCGACGAATGGAAGATAAGAAGACCCTCTCATAGATACGCTACAGGACCTATTGTGATCAAAACGAGACTCTAAGAAGAAATTGTTCATTCATCAGTCAAAATATTATTCTGTTAAGTGAAAATGTTAATGCTGAGAAACAACAAAGAAATAACTCATCGGCATTCGAAAGTAAGTGCCTCCGTTTCAAGACTTTAAAAGTATTCTGTCTTACCTCCATTCCGATGACGTCTCTCGTTCTTTCTACAATGGTATATATTGACCTCACCCTCCTCTGCGCACCTCTATCCATCCCCAAACTCGGAGATTATTTTATAAAAAGGTATGCGGCAAAATCTCACCTGGGGACACTCTTGTCGTAGTTTGAAGTGCAATTTTCATTTACTTGCATCAAGTGTGCCGATACGCTGAATATATTTTGGCATTGGGAAAGACATGGACTGTATGACCTCACTTTCATACATATTTAAAGGATAGTTTTTCTTCGTAGTTGATTAGTTCAGAATCTCCCTCCTCCTCTGTACTCTATCGCTCTCCTACATACTGCAGACAATTACTCCGATTTTACCAAATAGATTCGAGTTTTGGATCTCAGGTGCTCGGCAACTCGACCTCTTCGCCAAAACGCGATGCTTTCAACGACAACAAATCCAATCGAATCCGTTCTTTTTGCATCATCTAGGGCATTTTCTTATCTTTCTACGCGATTTTGTTTCATATCATTAGGTTCTTTTCTCGTCGAGCTATCTTAGTTGCGATCGGGCGACTATTTTAGCATATTTTCCGGCAAGTCTTCTCTATCATCGATCATCTCTATCGTGCCCGTCGCGCACCCATCGTCTCTTCCGTCGGTCCATCTGTCAGGCAACAGCTCATTCATCGTCTTCCGGTTCCTATCGCGCCATTTTCCATCCATTTCCTTCAGCACTTCTTCACTCTCTTAGTCATTCCAACTACAGATTGTCAGGAATGAAGTGAGGCCACCTCGCAATTTATTTCTTTTGTTTTCTAGATATACAGCTATTCTAAGGATTATATATATTATATTTCCTACTATCTAGCCGGTGCCTAGGTCGACACTACATTTACGCGCCCCAGACACTGTGGCAGTGAAGTGAAATAGAGGAAGCACCAGGCATATGGTGTACTTGGCTATCATGCTCGCTTAGCATTGCAGTATGCATTTCATATGTCTGCGGGAGGTGTTGGGTTCAATTCCAAATGTGTCCACATGGTCAAGAGTTGGAAAGTTTTCTCGCATAATTAAAAACTGTAGGACCTCGCTGCATTAAAACCCATTGCACAAATATTGACTCGGACTGTTTATTTTTGAAAGAAATGATTGTCTTGAGGGACTACTGGACGTGATGGTTGATATAAAGGATTTTTATATTTAGATGAAATGGACATTAGAAATGTAGAGAGGAGAGAAAGTGGAGCAAGGCTTGAAGTTTCAACGAATGAGGAGGTCAGTTTTGGTTCAGCTTCCAAATCAATGGTTTGGTTTGGGCAAGAAGAGCAAACAGAGCCAGCGTCAGGCCAGCTCTTTGAGTTCTCCCACGCAATGCACCTTCAGCGAATAACATCCTGATGTAAATCACCTCCGTTACCTTCGCTTATATCACTGCGCTTGTGACTACTACAAAGGAGAGGCCGTCCTCCACGCAAATGAAACATATCGGTTACTCCATCGTTCACCCTTCTTTCTTTTCCTCCTTTCGCTCTCATCTATCCAAAAAATTCGATCACAACTCAACGCAAACTCCCGACCTCGGCCTCAAACACTCTCCTTCTTACAACTATATCAAGCCCGCCTAGCCTCTCTCCGTGGGCTGCTCAATCCTTCGCATGTCTTGCTTGTCGTTGAGTTTGCCGAAGCAACCGACCCTCCCACGTGCGTCTGTGTGGCGGATGAACACAAGAAGGTCCTCATGACCCTGCAGTGTGCAGGATATACAGTGTCTGCGTGGAGGTGAAACCCGTGTAGTGATGATCTCGCTCGAATTCCATGATGATACAGGGGAGGCAAGAAGGGACAGTTCAGTTCGCGCGTTGATGAGGTGTGTATTGCTAACTTTCGTTTTCCCGTAATCTTAACCACCCTGGCAGCTCAGTCGCACAGGTGAAAAGAACCAGCGACGCTGACCGATCCATCAAATTAATGTTTCTCTGCTCTCTCGGAGAACACTATGGGAACATGTATCATTCACGCCATCCTCAACTACGAAAACTTCGATGGCGTTGCTGCAGTTGACGAAAGACCTCACAACCGGACGCATGCGCCGTCTCCCTCGCTGAAAACTAGGGGAATTTATGCGTCATGCATGCATCTAGCAAGAGTTCATGTTGGCTGCTACCTGGTGCGTCTTCTTACTGTTCCTCCTCCCTTCTTTAAACCCCACGATGTACTAACAGACTCGGAATTGCCTTCGCCCGGCCCAATAATTCAAATCCTCAATAACAAAAAAGAGCTGTACAACATCTCCACTCCAATGGTCCACCTCGTACTCACCGCCTTCTCTCCTACTCGCTGCCTTCTCTTCTATCTCCAGTCCCTCCATCCGTGCTGGCATCTCTGCGCTCACGTCTTCAGTCACAATCATCCTCTATGTTCTCTCTGTGATACCCGACGTCGAGGCAAGCATCTATGGGAGGGGCGCCAATTTTATGATAGTTCCCTCTCGAAAGACGGCTCAAAAAAGGTGAACAGAACAAGAGCGGCAGGTAAGACACGAGTTCCCAGAACGGAACGGCCTTGTCCATTTTGGCGGAAACGAGCCTGGGTGCTTGGGCTGCCTCTTCATCACGTCAGCACGGAGGCGAATAGGACTGTTGTACAGATGTCAGAGAGGTTATCGAGCATGTAAACGGGTGAAGCGGAGGGACGGGTAAGAGATAGATGATGTTGATAGATATAACAGGAATAGAAACTGTACAGACCATTTCATAAGCGTCAAGTAAATGAATTAATAAACGAATGTTTAGATAGTCTGTACGCCGTTTTGCAATGACGAATAGAGAATAAGAAGACCTGCTCATACACACACTACATACATCTGCCCTCAATTTATTTTAGATGGATTTTGGCATCAAATTGAGATTTAATGGGAACGACAGGCTGCCAGCCTGATTGATAAGAGATCTCGGCAACTTCCCTGCATGGTCTCTTTCTCAACAGGCGTCTACTGATGCCCTTTGCCCTTGCTCACTACCCTCATATCGTCCTCAAAAACAACTAGCTCTTTCTCAACAGAATACACTCTAGGGTTCCACCAAAGATGACTTCAATGCCGTTCTCCAGTGCTCTCTTCACAGGACAGCAAGCCTACCTTCACAGGTTGAAGCATTATTTTAATATTCGGAATGGAAATGGTATTACACCTCGGCGCTCCTTTCTAATTTACGGTCTCGGTGGGATGGGAAAGACCCAAATTGCTTTGAAATTTGCAGAAGAGACTTCTAGCCAGTATGTGATAATTTATTTAGCCAAAATACTATTCACTCAATAACATGTTGCAATCCTCAGATATGGATATGTGTTTTGGGTGGATGGTACTAATGAAAAAACCATTTCTGCAAGCTTAAAAGGCATTTCTTCCATTTCAGATGCCCAAAAGGCTAACGTGGATGGAACCCCTGAGGCAGTTCTCCACTGGATAGCTTCTCTGTCAAAGGAATGGCTTTTGATTTTTGATAATGCAGATGGAGAGCCCAATGTGGTTGAACATTATCTGCCTTCAAAAAATACAGGAGATATCCTCATTACCAGCAGGAACCCTAACATGAGATCTCTTACTAGTATCAATTCCATTGAACTGGAAGGAATGACTATGGAAGATGCTATGGCTCTGCTTTTAAAAAGATCTAACTTGGAAGAAGAAATAACAGGATCTATTCTAGAGGCTGCTGGGAGAATAGTTGCAGCATTGTTTTGCCTTCCTCTTGCTGTTGATCAGGCAGGAGCTTTTCTCACATCTGGCTTCTGCAGTATACATGACTATCTTGAGCTTTATTCAGAAAAAAGAAAAGAACTTTTGGATCATCCATCTTTCAGAGGTGCTTCTAAATATGAACAAACTACTTATGGAACTTGGGAGCTTTCATATAAAAAGATTGAAATCAAGGCATCAGATCAATCAAAGCCAAGGGATGCTGAAGTTGCTCAAACAGCTATTTTAATCCATCAAATTATGGCATTTTTCCATTATGAAAACATTATGGAAGATATCTTCCTCAGAGCTACTGAGCAATATATTGCAACAGATCTGAAAGAGATATCCAGTACAGGGCTTCCATTAGCTGTTTTGCTTTTAGATGAAAGACAGCTACACATAACTAATGGCAAATGGAATAAATTGATATTCCAATCTGGTATCCAAATGTTGCTGTCATTCTCCTTGATCAAAAAGGAATCACTAATTGCTGTATATCATATGCACCCAATGGTCCATGCATGGTGTAGAGACAGAATGACCAATCATGAGAGAGAAAAGGCCTGTTTCTTGGCAATGTTTTTGCTTGGATACTCTGTGAGACAGTCTAATAATATATCAGACTATATATTTTATCATGCACTTGTTATGCATATAAAAATGAATCAATTCTATTGTGCTGATATATTCAAGATGAATACATATTATGATGACATATACAACAATTTTGCTTATATTTTCCATCTGAATGGAAATTGGACTGAGGCAGAAAAATTGCAAGTTGAAGTATTGTGGAAAAGACAGCAGCTGCTAGGTCCAGTTCATCCACATACATTAACAAGCATGGCAAATCTGGCTTTGACATATAGGAATCAAGGCAAATGGACTGAGGCAGAGAAGTTGCAAGTTGAAGTAATGGAGAAAAGGCAGCAGCTGCTAAGTCCAGCTCACCTGGATACAATAGCAAGCATGGGAAATCTGACTTCAACATACATGAAGCAAGGGAAATTGAATGAGGCAGAGAAATTGCAAGTTGAAGTGTTGGAAACAACATATCAGTTGCTAGGTATAGATCATCCAGATACATTGACAAGCATGGTAAATCTAGCTTCAACATACATGAATCAAGGAAAATTGTCTGAAGCAGAGATATTACAAGTTGAAGTAATGGAAAAAAGACAGCAGCTGCTAGGTCCAGCTCATCCACATACATTAACCAGCATGGCAAATCTGGCTGCAACATACATGAAACAAGGAAAAATGACTGAAGCAGAGATATTGCAAATTGAAGTAATAAAGAAAATACAGCAGCTGCTAGGTTCAGATCATCCACATACATTAACAAGCATGGCAAATCTGGCTTCAACATACAGCAAGCAAGGCAAATGGACTGAGGCAGAGAAATTGGAAGTTGAAGTAATGGAGAAAAGACAGCAGCTGCTAGGTCCAGCTCATCCAGATACATTAAC